ATGATGATGATGATGGAGGGAGGAGGAGGAGGAGGAGGAGGAGGAGGAGGAGGAGGAGGAGTAGGAGGAGGAGGAGGAGGAGAAGGAGGAGGAGGAGGAGGAGGAGGAGAAGTGCGAGCAGAACGTCCAGAGGCCTCTTGGATGTCTCTCGGAGTCTCTTCGGATGTCTCTTGAGCGTTTCTTGTGGTCCTATTGGGGCGTCTTGGGGGCCTCTTCGCGGTCACAGAGGCCTCGCGGAGCGTCCTGTGTGCCTGGGGGGAACTCTCGGGAGCTTCGAGGGCCATCTTGGGGACCATCTTGTAGGTGATCAGAAGGGGGATGCTTGATTCACGTCTCCCCCCCAGGAGGCCAAACTAGATCCAACACCCAGGCAAAATCGGTGATTCTGGCTTTCTCGCCGAGGCCTTTCTGGACGCTCTGGCACCTCGCGGGTCGCCCCGTCCAGGTCCAGGGCGAGGGAGCAGGGGGAGGGGTACCCCCCCCCTTGAAGGGGAAGAAGGGGGGTTGGACGAGGAAAGCCGCTAAGCCACTCACGCTCTAAAGGGCTGGTGGGACTCGTGCCTCGAGGGCACGGTGGCGAATGCAGTTGGTAGTTATTCAATCGGTTTGCGTATTTCGTTGATCCCTGGAAGAGGAGGTGTGCGGCTTCCGCTTCCGTTTGTGTTGTTTGACTCTTCCCGACATGTTGCTTGCGTGTAATTGTCGCTGATTCTTATTTTTCTTCCTCCGCGTCTGTTGGACGGGCTTTGGGGGCCTCTCGGAGGCTCACGGGTTGGCCTCCTAGAGCCTTTCCGACGCTCCTGGGGGCTTTTTGGGGACCCTCTGGGGGCTGCTTAGGGTCCCCAACCTAACCCGAATGCCCAACTTTACCGTCCAGTGGGGGGGGTCGGGGAGCACTGACAAAACACATGGAACCCATACCCCCCAACCCGAAACTTGGGTCTTCGGGTTAGGTTGGGGTGGTCTTGTAAGTAGTCAGGTCTGTTGTGGGTCTTGGGAGCCATCTTGCAGGGGAGGGCTGTCGGGGTCCCTGCGAGTTCACCTCTTGGGCTGCTGGGCCCGTCTTGGGCCCTCCTGAAGGCTTTGTTTTCCGTCCGGAAGGCCTCACTGGGCCGCCTCAGGGTCCTCTCGGGCCGTCTCCAAGCCCTCTCGGGGGCTTTTTTTGGGCTCTTGGGCCCGTCTGGGGGGCCTCCCGGATTCCCAGAAGCCCGTACAAGGGAAGGGATAACACGAACATCATGCAACATCATGTTGAGTACCGTATTTTGCATCTTAAAGCGCTCTTGGGGGGTTCCCTTGGGGGCCATCTTGGATGTTGGTGAGGCCTGTCGTGCGTGTTGGAGCCTTTCCGGAGCCATCTTACCTGGTATCTTGGGCACCCTGGTGGCCTCGGAGGGTGGATCTCGAGGCTCTCAGGGCCCAAGGGGTGCGCTGGCAATGTCGTGCCCCCCCCTCAGGATTTTCGACCCCACGTGAGGGGGAAAGGGCGGAGGGTGGAGAGCCAATCTGCTCACGCGCCTCTTTTTACCCCCCGCAATGGCAAGCGGAGGTCGGCGGGCAGCCTGCACAGCCAGCACCATCTACAGCGACAGCAGCCATCATCTTTGGTGTGTGCCCCCCTGACTCGTGTTACCCACCACCCGCCACATACTACTGACTACTGGTACATACTACCTGCTTCACTGCACGTGGTAGTCGCTAGTGCACGCGATCCAGTCCATTGTACATACTACATAGTACTAAGGACCCATTGCGTAGTGTGTTTTATGTATTATCTTGGCAGCCAGTACCTAGTACGCAGTACCTGGTACCTAGTACCTAACCTCTAGTATCTTGTCTTGAATGCCTACCATCTGCAATTAACTACTCGGTACTGGTATCCTACAACCTCCTACCTCCTATCGAAGCCATAACTAGTAACACCCATACGACCACCGTTCGGGTGATAGGAAGGTTGGGGGGGAAGGAATACCCACTGACAACAACCGCGACGACTGTGATGGCGATAAGATGGCGAATTGCACGATGATGCTGATGGTGAGAATGAATACTGGTGATTGTAATGAAAGCGACACAGCCGCGATGGAGCTCACACCACATAAATGCGACCTCGCAATCGTCTCCAATCGATAGATCTCACTACCGGTTTCATTATCCCTCTTAATATCGATCGCAGTATCGAGATCGTTATCGATCTTACCATCGATCGGGCTATCGCTCTCACTTTTGATTCCATGATCGATTTTTCAACAGAGCTCACTAACGATCTCACAGCTAGAGGCGTGGCGTGCAGTGCGATCGGGAACCCAGCGGGGCAATATCGGTACATCATCGGAACACCAGCGGGACACAACAGGCCACCACACCAGACATTCGGGTCACGAGCTTCTCTAGACCAGTATGAAAGATCTCACACCAGATCTCACTATCAGTGTCAACGGGTTTCACCATCGATCTCACCATCGATTTCACTATCGCTCTCGATATCGATCGCACTATTGATCTCATTATCAATATCACAATAGAGTTCAAGATCGCTCTCACTATCCTCCGCATCAGAGATCTCACGAGACACCATCGGGACACCACGATGGGACACCTCCAGCCACGGCGGGGCACCCACAACCAAACATCTGTTGTGAGCGATCTCGCTATCGATCTCACCATCGATTTCTCGATCTCGCGATCGATCTCACGACCACGATCGATCATGTAATCGCTCTCACTATCGATCTCACTAACGATCTCACAACTGATCTCACGAGCTACGATCGAGACATCACGGCGGGACACCCTGAGCCACCTTCGGGACACCCCGCGCCACCGACAGGACACCGACGGGACACCGACGGGACACCGAGGGGCCACCGACGGGACACCGACGGGGCACCCCCGGCCACCGCGCGACGGGGGGAGGAGGGGCGGACAACCGACCTCACGGCCTCTAGCCACGGCGGCATCATTCATGTTTCGCGTCCACGCAGCTTCGCCTCGCCCGCACGCACGACGTGAACACGAAACCGAAACCGATCTACCAGTGCGGGGCCCTCCGCTCCACTGCGATCTCCCCCCCCAACCTCCGAACTACTGCGTGCTTCTATCTACTCGAACAGTGCTTGCCCGAAGGGGGTCTTCACGGCCCGTACAGTGGTTGGCTGCCGTTTTCGGGTGTTCGCCCAGTGGCCGCCCATGGCCGCCCGGGGCCGCCATGTGGGCTCCTCGTGCCTGGGCTGCTACTTCGCGGTTTTTGCCCGGTCGCCGCCGGTGAGCCTCCCGTGGGCACCTCGTGCGTTGGCTCTTGTCTCTGTCTCCTCGCCCAGCCGCTGCGCGTTGCCGCCCGTGGGCCCTTCGTGGGTGCCTCGTGTGTGGTCATTCGCGCTTTCCCCTCCCCCTCCCCCCGCGCGGCCGCCCTCGTTTTCTTGCTCCCTCTTGCACGCCGGACAATCAGCCCTTCGGTTGCCCCGAAGAACCACACGCTGGAGCGGACTGCCTCTGCTGTGGCGGGGCTTTCGCCCGGTGGCCGCCCGTTTGGCGTCGTGCGTTGGCCTAGGTTTCCGGGCTTTCTCCTGGAGGCTCTCCTGGAGGCTGTAACGTCTTCCGTTTCATAGCGTGCGCCATATGCATTGCGCCACATTGGTTGCACCACATGGCTTGCACCACATGGTGTATAATGGCACCGCACATCCTACACCGCGTAGCTTGCAGCGCATGCATTGCGCCACACGCGTTGCATCACAGTGCTGCCGCTGCGTAGCTTGCATCGCATGGTTTGCAGCGCATAGCTTGCACATTCAGAGAGCACCCGCGCTGGTATCCCTCATTGTCTTCGGCTCACGGGCATGAACTAGTCTTGTATCTACATCACTACAACACTTCCACCACTTCCACCATTACCACCGTCATTATTACTACTACTACTACTCCTACTACTACTCCTACTACTACTACTCCTACTACTACTCCTACTACTACTACTCCTCCTCCTACTACTACTACTATTACTACTACTACTACTACTACTACTACTACTCCTACTACTACTACTACTACTACTACTGCTACTGCTACTACTACTACTACTCCTGCTACTACTACTACTACTACTACTACTACTACTACTACTACTACTACTACTACTACTACCACTACTACTACTACTACTACTACTACTACTACTACTACTACTACTACTACTACTACTACTACTACTACTACTACTACTACTACTACTACTACTACTACTACTACTACTACTACTACTACTACTACTACTACTACTACTACTACTACTACCACTACTACTACTACTACTACTACTACTACTACTACTACTACTACTACTACTACTACTACTACTACGGCTACTACGACTACTACTACAACAACTATTACTACTACTACTACTACTGCTACTACTACTAATACTACTACTACTACTACTACTACTACTACTACTACTACTGCTATTACTACTACCACTACTACCACTACTACAACTACAACTACAACTGCAATTACAACTACAACTACAACAACTACTACTACTACAATTGCTGCTACTACTTATTCTACTGCTACTGCTACTTCTACTGCTGCTGCTGCCGCTATGACTAGCAGTACGACCACTACTACCTCCACCTAGTGGTACAACATCTGTTACCAATCTGGGTATTACGACTCCAACTGCAGCTATTAATGTTTTCGTGGCTACTATCACTCCCACCAGACCGCCGCTATACGTAAACCTCTTATTGTAACGTGTGGGGCTACTCCTCACTTTTCCCAAGAGCTTCTTTTGGCGCTGCGATCTCGCAGTCCCGCCCCTCATTCACCAGGCAGGGCTCTTCGACACCGTAGTTAACATGTTAGCCCTGGCTGCTGCCACATTTACACATTTTTGGCAACACACCATCTTCAACATTCCATTCCAATGTGCTAGAGCTCTCTTTACCTCTTGCCGCTACCGATCCGACTGAATTACCCCTCCTGCTAGCTCTGAGGACATCTCCGAGGTGCACCCGTCCATTATCGCGGCGGACTTGTGGCCCAAGATGCGTTCGATGAAGCAGCAGGACTTGTACGACATTTCGGCTTACATCCTTTACCAGAATTACGTCATCCCCGAGAAGTGGGGCGGCGGCAAGCAGTACTACTGAGCTGTTGGGCAGGTTTTTTTACATTGCTGAGCTCATGTGAGGTCTCGCAACCATGAACCAAAACGAGGAAGGCAGTGTGGTCGATGGTCACAGGCGTTATCATTGTCGGCATTTTTTCACCAGCGTTACCGTCATCATTGGTGCCGCCCTCACTGCCCTCAGTATCTAGCTGCCTACGGCAAGTCCCGCCACCGTGCCAGCGCAGGCGCTCGGTGCCATGACGTTTCGAGAACTGCCCCGATGGCCGTAACATGTGGCACCTCTTGTATCTATTTCTGACGGGCTCTTAAGGGGGCTGCCTGGACCGTCTTGCGGTTGCCTTGGGCTCTTTAGGGTCCTCTTGGGGCGCTGTTGGAACTCTTTTGGCCTCTTGCCAGTCTCTCTTGTGCCGTCTTGGTGCCGTCTGGGGCCGTGCTTGGCCCCTCTCGGCCGTCTGGGGTGTCTCTTGGGGCTGTCTTCGGACCCTTTTGGGCCATCTTGGTGCCCTCTTGGGGCTGTCCTGTGCCGTCTGGCGGGCTTCTTGGGGTTCTCATCTCTTTGGCTCTTCAGGAAAGCGTTTGGAGCCATCTTGGGCCCGGAGGCGTGGGACACGCAGCATGCTAACACACATGACTGGTTTCCGTGCTCTGTTGAATGTTTTTGGCCTTCTTGGTGAGCATGCTGTTTTGTGGTTGCTGTGATTGTTGTTGTTGTTGTTGTTGTTGTTGTTGTTGTTGTTGTTGTTGTTGTTGATATGGTTGTTGTTGTTGTTGTTGTTGCTGTTGTTGTTGTTGTTGTTGTTGTTGTTGCTGCTGCTGCAGTTGCAGTTGTTGTGGTTGTTGGTTGTAGGTTGTTGGTTGTTGTTGTTGGTTGTTGGTTGTTGCGGTGGTGGTTGTGGTTGTGGTTATACTTGTTGCTGCTGCAGTTGTTGTTGTTGTTGTTGTTGATGTTGTTGTTGGTGTTGTTGTTGTGGTTGTCGTACATACTGGTATGGTTGTCATTGTTGCTGCTGTTGTTGCTGCTACTGCTGTTGTTGATGATGTTGTTGTTGGTTGTTGTTGTTGCTGCTGTTGTAGTTGTGGTTGTTGTGGTTGTGGTTGTTGTTGTTGTTGCTGTTGCTGTTGTTATTTCTGTTGTTATTTCTGTTGTTTTGTTTTGGAAGTCTCTTGGGGACTCCTGGGTAGGGCAATGTTGGGCCATCTTGAGCGCCCTGCTTGCCTCGAAGAACCCCGTGGAGCCCCCAAGATGGCGTCGGCCTGCCCGGGGAGCCTAGGGAGGGGAGGGGAATGCATGCAACACTTCGAGATGAGACGGGGGAGTGGCTCCCTTCGAATCTGGTAGACACCCTGTCAGGCAACAGCAGCGCCTCAACGTGCCAGGGGGCCACGGTGGAGGATTATCGTTCGAGCTCGCAGTGACTACGGCATCTGCTTTAGTTTAGTTCCACCATGGCGTGTCAGGGAGTGTTGTATTTCGCATTATGTTGCTTCCTGTTTTATATGACTCTTCATCCGTGCGAGGTCAGGGCTATGCTGATTCCTTCGACTACGCTGCCTGCTACTCCCTTCTCCCTCCTCCTCTTCTCCTCCTGCTCCTTCCCGCTCCTCTTCCCTCCCTCTTCGGAGGCTTCCGTTGGCCTGAGCTCTCTGGAGGCCCCTGGAGGCCGAGAAAGGTCTGGAAACGTCGACAGGGTCATCATGCTTTAGATACAGCAAAAGAGCGCCACAAGGCTCACACTATGTAAACTCCCAAACTTCAATCGTCGGACCTCAGAACTCGGTCCTCTCTCTGGGCCGGGGACACGACATGTGAGGTGGTGGTCGGGGATCGGGTGGGGACACGACATCTGCTGCGCGCAGCTGGTTTGGGCTCCACCGCCAGGCACTTTCCCCGACATGCGGCCGCCTCCTGCGCGGGGGGGGGGGCGCGCTGGACGTGCCGACCGCTTCGCGAACCCTCCCCCCCCCCCCTGGAGTGCGCCTCCTCTCCCTGGTTCTTTTGCCACCGGGGCAGCCAGCTCCTCGCTCGGGATGCACCGCGGCGGGAGCGCGGGCGCACCACCGCCCGCAGTCCGAGCGGCCGGGCCTCTGGGCCCAGCGCTGCGCCGCGCGGGGCCTCGGGGCCCAGCAGCGGCCCCCCCCCCGAGGGGGTGGATGGGCCTCGCGTCGGGAGATGCTGGAGGTGCCCCTGGTCCAGGGTGCCCCCAGGGTCTCCAAGGAGCCCACTCTGCCTCCAGAGCACCCCTCACGAGGCCCAGGGGGCCCCGGGTGCTGCAACACTGGGCGGGAAGCTGACGGCACCTTGGGCCAGGGGCACCTTTAGCAAAAAAAGGTCGTGGGCCTGCATGACAGCAGGAAGAGCAACAGCCCCTGCCCACACCCCTTCCAAAGCGACCGCGACATGAGGCCGTTCACGCGTTTACCTTCTGGTCTACGGCTCCTCTCGTCCCGCCCAAGTGGGCGCAGCTCTGCCCGCAGTAGAGACAGATGGACGCTCGCTCGCTCGCTTGCTCGCCCACCCGCCCGTGCCTTCCCGACCACATCGTCGGAGAAGTCGGGGGGATGTATCGATTTGGCGGGCGGGGGCTCAAGGGCAGATGCTCTCTGCGAGCGTCCGCTTGACGCCTTCTGTCCGCCCGAAGCGTTTGTATACTACGCCCAAAAGCTCTGGGGGGTGGGCGAGGGTCCTGGTCGTGAGTCTGGTCTGCAAAATTCCCTCCCAGGGGCGCGGTTCTTGTATGCTGAATGTGGCCCCGTGGGGTGGAACCTGACTGGGGTGGGCAGGGTGTGGTATCAACACTGGAGGATTCTCGCGCTGTCGTAACCGATCCCCCGGCCGGGGCCTCCCGCCAGTCCTTGTGA